CTCTCACCTCCCTCATTATGCCATCTCCACTTGAGAGCAAACGGCCATATCATTAAAGTGGTCAAGTGTCAACATCAAAAATGGCGGAGCAGATAAACAAACCAGGATTTTAAAGTTGGAATATTAATGAGGAATAGAAGAAACACTTCAACTCAGAGCAGAGTGAAAACAACCCGACAAGCAGGGACAAGATCGGCTTGATTTTTTTTTATTATTTTTTTGATACAATAAAAACGCAAATAAAGAGACAAAGAGACAGTTTTCTGTGTTGTCGTTTTTACCAGCAATCCATCATAACTAACCAGGTAAACACTTGTATCCAGGACTAAATCCTGATATACAGTGTAATCTGTCACGCAACTTGTCCCGAAATCTTCTCGAAAACGGCGTGACAAGTTACATCGAGCCGTGTAACACAACGCGTAAAGGACAAAACGTTTGCAAAACAAGTTGCTTCAACGGTTACAGAAAGTAGAACTAAGTTCCAACTTTCTCCAACCGCTGTAGCAACTGTTTCGCATAAATTCTGTCCGTTACACGGTATGATACACGACCCAATGTTTCATACAACGCATTTGTCACGCCGCCATCGAAAACATTAAGAGATTTGTTGCGTAAGAGATTACACTGAATAAGAGGACCACAAACCAAGTTCTGCTTTTAAAGAAAACCACTACTTAAAACTGAAAAAGTCTGCCATAAAACTCTCATTGTACTTCTATCGCGTTTTCGCTGTAGTATTTGCGAGTAGCAAACTGTACTTAGTTGCTCAAGAAGTCGACTTTAAAATAAGTTGCCCCCCCCCCCATTCACACTTTGCGTAACTGTCAAAGAACGTTTCAACGTAAGTGTGACGCAAGTCTTTGCATGTCACGCTATAATTTGGCTACAGAGATATAGACGATTCACAGGCGTAAAAATGCGTAACATTGTAAACTCCCATTAGGCTGAAGCATAGGCGATCGAAAATCCCCTCGAATTAGCGACATATGAACCTGTAACTCACTGTAGCTCCTTGCAAATAAACAACAAACCTTGCGATAAAAATTCAGCATGTAAAAGAAAATGCTAATTTCTTAAAAACGCGCGGAACACGACAATGACTTTTTTGCCCAATGTTGACGTCAAAAGCGTTGGTCCCGAAAAAAAAAAAAAAATCTGGAAAAGCCATTTTCCAAACTGAGCAACTAAGCACATCTTGTGCCTCACAAATAGAGCAATGAGATGAGGTATTAAACACAAAGACGCACTATAAACCTAACACGGGATTACAAAAACAACACTGGACAATTTAATGCAACTTAAAATTGTGATAACAAATTTCCAAATAATTTTAAGAATTTTGCAATATTTCAAGACGATTAATTTTGTAAAACATGAATTAAAGATTAAAATAGTATCTAACTTTGGAGACGGCTACATCCTCAAGGTAATTAAATGCATGTCTTTAACTTTCTTTGTAATTGTAAATTTTTAAATAATTTTAAGAAGTTTCAAGTATTTCAAGAAAATATTTTAACATGAATTACAAATTAAAATGTGTTCAAGTTTAGTGAAGGCTAAATCCTCAAGAAAATTAAGTGCATTTTTAAATTTTTTCTCTGTAAGTGTAAATTTACAATAATGAATTTTGCAATATTTCGAGAGAATCTGTAAATATGACTTCGAGATTACATTGTATCGAAATGTAGAGACAGCTATATCCTCAAGTAGTGCGTCTTTGTGGTTCTGAGAGCTTTATAACAAACATTGCATTTCAGCAGAGATTTCCTTGTACCCTCATATCACTAACTTTACAATGGCCCATATTGTTTTGTCAAGAGACTTCAATTAAAACACACTCAAATGGGGTGTCATTATTTTCATGGATTTTCCGCGAGTTCTGGGCCATAAAACAACCAAGACTTCATAGCCTAATTTCAAAGGGAGTAATAAATAGAACAGGTAATTGACATTTATTTTGTACTTAACACTTCAGCAAAAGTTCAAACAAAGTTTTGAGAGTTAAGTTTTAAAAAGAAATAAAATATCTGAATCACACAGTGAAACTCCAATTTTGATTTCTAAATTCATCAATAATGTATTGTAATAAATCTGCATTGTCAAAGTAATGAGAGTTTGGCAGAAGTGAAAAATAAATCTTTTTCAAAACTTGCAATGTTTTGAACTCCATAAAAAAAACCAACGATAAAACCACTGAACAGTAAAATGGAATCACCATTTTCATTTTCTACTGATCAATAATTCGTTTTGATAAAGCCTTATTGTCAAAGTAATTGGAATTCAGTAGAAATCGAAACGAAACCTCTTTGATTGAGGTGATACACAAATGAAATTTTGGAACTTGAAAACACTCATCCCCCCTGCCCTGTAGAACGTTTGAATACTAACGTGCAGTTACTATTATTGTTTTTTTACTTCATCAACACTTCATTTTAACACTTGCACATTGCACTTAACTGGTCATTAACAGATTGCACAAAGCAAAATGTTTCAAACTTTTTCATTGCCAGTCGTCATATTTTCCAAGTATTTTGCAGATTTGGGTAACTGGCAAAATTTATTGTTTTCAAACTCATGCTGAAGGGATAAGTGTTAATAAATAACTGAATGGTGAAGTCATATTTGTACTAATGGGCCATTGTACAGTAACGACAAATACCACAGACATGCATAGCCAAACAGAGGTCAAATGAAAACTTACAGACATCCCAAACAACAACATGCATTCTAAATAAATTTATTGAAAGTGGATAACACCTCAGAGAAGAATGTGAATAATAATGTGAATAAACATAGACAAAGAATTCTTCAAAAAAAATTACAGGCAAGCCATAGAATTTGTAAAACGGCTTTTCAGAGAGTAATAATATTAGTTACTCAATAATCTTATTCTAGTTGTCAACTGTAACAACCACTGCTAAAATCAATCAGTCTTTAACATGTTTTGATAAGGAGCCTTCAATTTAGCAGTTACTCAATTATCAATTTGCCAAATTGTGTTCACTTTCTTAGCAATTAATTTATCAAGACACTGACCACAACAGCAGAGTTTTTGTTCAGCATGTCAATAAAAATTCATTGGACTACAAACTGAAGTCCCTTGTTGTTTCTTGTTTTGAAATGGTTGAAGGAGACGGTCACTCCAAAAAGACGTAAATAAACGTATGAGACCTCTCACGCGAAAACGTTCCTTACGGTATCCGTTCGAACGGCTGAACGCACGGCAAATGAACGGATGAGAAACGGGTCTACAAACCGTTCAAAACGGATTCATTGAATGACTGAATGGCTGAAGAAAATTTGTGAACGGATGAGGTCAAACGGCTGAACGGCGTTGAAAAAACCCCCTTGACTTCTGATGCTGAGTTTCATTTTTCACTAGCTAGAAAGGAAAGTTTTGGAAGAAACTTTTCTTTACAACTGGACTGCAGAAATATTTAAAATATACATGCACATGTAGAACAAGAATGACTGAAATGATAAGTCATTTACATTCAGAAGTGTTCTCACTCCCGTGAAAAATTACTGTATTTCCTCAGTTGGTCCCTTCCCTCTGTAAAGAGTCCAACCTGCCCATTTATTTTTACTTGTTGTTCAGTACCCCTATCAGGGATAAAAGCAGAATTATACCCTCCAGCCCCACTTCCAGCCCCACCTCCCCCCTCCCCACCAAAAGAAATTTTCTCTATCTCTGTGTCAAAGATTTATTGAACCATCCATGGAATTCCTTCTTGAGACAACCTGCCTTAAAGTTTATCTGCAACCCTTCAACTATAAGAAATTGCATTTTGCAGTTTTTTTCTGAAGGCAAGAAAGCATACAAATCAATGTACATACCCCCAGGTGTACTTTGTTACATGTACAACTGGCAAGGTTGCCATGTTGCAGTATGCTTCTCCCCTCCCCCTAATTACTCCTATGCCAATCTATTTTTGATTCTAATGATCTAAATGGGAGGGTGAACATTGTCTAGAATGTGAAACCAATCAGGGGTACATGTATGCGTATTTCTCACATTATCACACAACAATCTCTTCCACTGATCCTCAGGCCCATCTGTATGAGGACACGAACCCAACCCCTTGTCCAGTACAATTTTTCAACAACAATGAACAATTGCAGTTTGCTTGATGTTTTTGGAAGGGGAGAAGGAAGGGGGAGGGCGTGTTAAATGATGAATTTAAGACAGAATTCTCTTTCAACTCTTTCTATCCAGTATCCCTTATAATTAGCCCCAATCTCCTTGTTTTTCCTGTTTTGATCCATATGATGGGTGATTATATTACAGTGTAGCAGTGAAACAGCAGCTTAGCACTCTTTCAGCCATAAATTTCTAAGCCCTTTCAGTTGAGGTCAAAAAGGGCAGAATTTCCTAGTGGTGTCAACAATAAATTTATACAGATAATCTGATTGTTTTGTACAATCCCAGAACTTTGAATTGGAAGTATTGATTATATCAAGCCTCCATTCTAATAAGGAAGTCTTTCCAAATCTCCTTTTCAACAAATAAATTGCAGTTTTGATATTTGATATTACTATTAAGCCCTCCTTCCAAAGAGCTTCCCCTTTGTACATACATGTATGGGCAAAAATCAGGACGTCCAACAGGGGTTTAAAGGAGGAAATACAGTAAAAACATAAAATATAACCAAATGAAATGTTATCCACTTCAAAACTAATTTACTGACTGAGCCAATGAAAGCACTTTAAATTATGTACATGTCTGTGGTATTTCAAAATTAAAAGCAGAACTTGGTGAATGCAATGATCAACTCAAAACTAATCCTTAACCTGGGCAACCCTGGGAAATAAAAGTGAATCATGACAAGGTTGGAGAGTGAGGGGGG